ATATATATATATATATATATATATATTAATAATAATAAAAATTTAAAAAAAAAACACAGAACCCATCATAATTTTATTAACAGTAAACTAGCTCCTACAAAGGTCGATCATATTCCAAGAAATTTGCTGAACTTAAACTTCAATATGTGTATGATGATTTTCCACAGTGCAGTTATCTTGGTCTGAACATGTTAATTTTGTCTATAAAGAAGCATGTACTAGACTAGTACATAATTGTATTATCTACACCAACTTACACGTGCCAAACTGCCCTCATCAGATCTTGTTCAGATATATCTGATGTTAATCCAGTCTGTTGTTGAACATGCTTGTCCTGTGTAGCAACCCAGATTAACCAAAGAACAATGCAAAATAATAGAATCCATCCACTTAAAATTATATTCTCTGAGTAACCATATCTTGATGCCCTAGTCAAAGCAAAGCTTGTTACGCTAAAGGAGCTGCACATAGACCTCTGCCAATCATTCTTTGCAAAAATAAAAAATGACAGAATTATATTAAGTTGAACTACCTATATATTAACCTGCAAACCACACAGAAAACTTGGGGCATAGACAGTTACAAATTTTAGTGTACCAAAATTCAGAACCAAATGTTTTAAAAACACTTTTATTCCCTTTTCCTTATCAAACTTTTAGTGGTCTGTGTTTTATTTTGAAACTTGGTCTTAATTGTATATATTCTATTTTATGCCCTTTGCTTTTACCAAATTTTTAGAGGTTTGTGCTTTATTTATCTATTATTTATTGTATATTGTACATTCTTCATCTTAAGCAACTGTTTTTTTACTTGCAATTTTTATTCTAATCCAGTTTATGTACAACTTTAACCTTGTAGTTGCCATATGTTAATATTATTAAGAAAACGAAAGTCTCAAAAAAAAAAAAAAAAAAGCCGATTTGCTCGCTGAACACCAATTCATTCAGTCACTTACCTGAATATCTTTCATGCGTCAACACATAAAAAGGGAGTGCTTACGTATGGATTTTCGAGCAATACATTTGACTGTCAGGACGTAAATTCAATTATTGTCGTCTAATGCCGGAATAGTCTACAGTGTAAATCAAAAGCAAAATGAAACGTGTTTTTCGGTAACGTGCACATGTTACGTGGTAATGTATCTCCAGATAGAGGAAAAGCAGTAATAATAAACAATATTCTTTTACTTTTGGATATGCTAGGCTGTAATTACCTTATTGACGTCAGTTTCCAGTACCCGCACTCTTAACGTTTTCTTCAAAATGCGGAAAACATCCCAGCGAAACATCAAAACCGGAGGCTTTTATCGCCCCAACGACCTTGACCTTACTTGACCTCTGACAGGTGCCCGTCACGAAAACTGAGACTTGAATATTTAATACAATTCCATACTTCATATATTGTTTGAAAAAAATATGAAATATCATCATGATAAAGTTATTTCTGTTTATTTTTATTTTTGATATTGAAATGATAGCGAATGTTTGGCTATTACTATTGCAAACATAACATAAACCTTTTCTAAGCCGCATTTCTTATAAACCCTAGTGACTTCCGGAATGCTGTTGTCAGGAAACGGTAAACTACAATATAGCTGAGAGGTCGGTCTAAGATATTCCAGGCGTGATTTTCCATAACAGAGAAAGTTATCAATATGGCCAAAGAGCAGATGCATCCAGAGCAGTTTGGTGCTCTTCTTCACAGAATAATGATGGTATGTATGAATTAAAACACGGCGCTTTGTTTATGTTTACTAACATGTTTACTGATTTATATTTGAATGCTACTACATGTAGTATACATACAGCTTGAGTGTTTACGATTGCACTTGGTTTGTCATCGTCACAGATTCTATTTCATTCTGGTTTCTTTATGAAAAAGTTACAGCGAAATTAAAATATTCCTGTTCTTATTATGAAGAATTACAATGTAGGATCACAACATTTATTCTATTTCTGCTAATACTTTTTTTTTTTTTGTTGAGAAAACTGCCATGCGTAACAGCTACAGTGTTAGAATTTTTTTGTACACATTTTATGTGAAAAATTCAACTTGAGGATTTTGAGATAAATAATTTCCATCATGCTATAATTTACTCAGCTCTATGGAGTACTGTACATGTGCGTTTATCTACCTATCATATCTTTTGGTACAAGAAATATTGTTTGAGGTAAAATAGGGGACAATTCAGAATTACAATATATAATGGTACTGATGTTTCTGTGTGTGAATCAATGAACAACATAAGTCAACAGTTGGTCTGAAACTATTTTCTTGATTTGACAGCAGATATTGTGGCTAGTAAAATAATAAGACTTGTCAAAGTTACCAGTCTAATCTGACTTGTGGAATTTCAAGTAGATGCCATACCTGTAAGTCAATAATTTCCAATATTAGTATTGGTAAATTTCTTCTCAGGACTAGTTAGTTCTTATTAAGGAGAGTAGTTTCTTAGGTCTGCAAGTCCAGTGGACTGAAGAGTTTACATACAGGTCTTCAGTTTTTGACAAAAGTTTTACCCATGTTATGGCATTCTTAGAGTTCAAACAGATTGCCAACAGATCTTACTATTTTTTTAATCATTTACCTTTAAAATTTTTTTACCAATTAACCCCTAGCTTTAACTTTTTTAGAATAGAATGTGATTTTTATGTAGCTTTTATCATTCATTTATTGTTCATTTTTAATACAAAAATTTAATTTATTTAATTCTTACTTATTTAAAGTTTTTTAACAAAATAATACTTTAGCAGGACAATTTATTCCTGATAAAGTATATCTTAGATGTTTATGTATCTAGATGTTTATATACATATATATATATATATATATATATATATATATATAGTATCAAATGTACTATTGCTGTCTTAGAAATCTTCAAACATAAGTTAACAATTCTGAAAAACCCTTTTTTGTTGTTTTTAGGAGACCGGTTCATCACAGAAGAAGCTAGAAATCTTGTTTTCTGCCAAAGGTTATTATAATGCCAATCAGGTAATGCATATTACATTTTGGACCTTAACACATGTACATGTACGGTTTTCTCTTTTATCCATCTCACCAACTTGAAAGAAAGAATATCTTAAATAAAAAAAAGTTGTTTCATGAAATAACTTATTGTCATACAATCTATATATTAATTTGATAAAACACTGAAAGTGTTGATTTAAGTAAAAACTGTTTCCACATCCTCCAGTCTGTGATTGATACATGTAGCATATAAAATATAAGTTTCTTTTAACATTACATTCTCATGCCATTCTTACAAGACATATGAAGTATATAATGTTTTCTGGCTATCAATAATGATGTATTGATCTCATGCTGTCTGGAGGTACTGGTACTTGACATTGATCAATAATGCAGTGCCTTTTATGATATGTTCCAGCTGAGATTAGGGAAATGAAATTTGATAGATTTTTTTCTGGCATTGAAGTTTGATTCTGTAGAAATAATGCTTACCTTTTTTCTATGCTAAGAACCTTAGAAAAATTGAACAAAAGAGCATTTCTGTATTGTAGCTAAAGAAAACAGAACTACGTGTTTCATTTATCTTCATGCACTCAGGAGTGGTTTTTTTTTTTTTTTTTTTACTTAATTTCATTTATACTTAAAGAAAGTATGTTTTTACATTTATTTTTGAACCAAGACAATTTCATATGTAGTTTATCAGTCTCACAAGCCATGAGTGTGTATATTAACCCACAGTTGACCTAGCTGTCTATCCAGTTAGATCTACCCTATATAATACTGTTTGAGAGAAGCACCAGTAAACCCTGCAGGCTGAAAAGGTTTGATGATGTTAAGCAGTTCGAAACTTTTCTGTTTGTTCCAGGTTTCTTCTATGCTCAATGCATTTGCAATTCCATCAGACAAAGTCAGAGCTATGCAGATCATGGAACCTGTGAGTAGAGCCAGGCACTGTTGTGATCAGTTTCACAAATTTTCAACAGAAAAACCACTTCTAATATCGTTTTAAAACAGATTTTGGTTTCTCTTTTTAATAACTTAATGAAACATTAATTTATTTTGGTTACCTTACTCTGAAAAAATGAAGAGAGTTACAGATCAGTTTGATGACCTAAATATGCTTTTGTTTAAAACATCTATTAGTAAATGGTATTTTACATTTGCCCAAAACATTGAACTTCAGCATTATATAGGTAGACTCAAAACAGTAGGAGATGGCTATTTATATCATCCACATCAAGTTTAGTTTCATTTTCATTTTGAAGTACCTTAATCAACTTCTGAAATGAAATGGATAGCATAAGGAAAAAATCCCATCTCTATCAGTTGTGAGTAAAGGTGAGGCAAAATACTGCTACATAAAGTAATATGCATTGATCTTTATTTTGTTTTTCCCCACAGAGATTGTGTCGTATGACGTGTGACCAAGCAAGGGAAATAATTGCTTCTGCCAGTGTACACAATGACAAACTCATTCTATTAGACTGTATAAAAAGGTAAGGGAACACAAAAACATATTTCATAATATTCACTTGATAATGCTAAATTATTTGACACTAAATATTTTTTTCATACTTACAGCAAATATATAACCTCAGAGTTTAGAAAAAAAATGCGTGTTCATTTCAGTGCTTAATTTTAATGTTTCATATATATTGCAGGGCATTAGTGGACTGCCAAAGCAGAGTAGGCGTAGAATATATCCTAAGTGCTTTTACTTATGAAGGAGATAAAATGAGAGCAATGTCAATTTTAAACACAGTAAGTATCAATTTACCTACCATGCAGTACATGATTTTTCTGTGTAGTTGAGAAAATTAAATTCCGTCATGTTATGCACAATAGGGCCATATTTCCCACCAATTTAGGTAGAGTCATATTATTTAATGTGGCATCATCAAAGGCAACAACATGCATGATACTCATAACAGCATGTCCCATTAATTTCATTTTGAGGTCACATTTTCTATCTGTGACATCACAACATACATATATGACATCAGAGATAACATCATCATCAGTGACATCAGAACTCACATGTGATATCAGACATGACATCATCACATTTTCTGTTCATTTTAGGTGAGGTCGGATGTGGCAGATGCTGTCCCGGCAGGAGGACACCAGGGGTATGCAGCCCTGGGGGGACTGTATACACAAGCCAGACCCCTGGTACCCCAGCTGTATGGAAGCATAGCACAACAGGTTCTAACTATACCGGTAGGTACTGGTAGTTGTTGTACAAAGAGATCAAACACAAATAAAGATAAGATATTGGTTATAAATTTGTTTACGGAATAAATAAATATAAAAAAATAAATAAATAAATAAATACAAGAGAAATAAATGAATGAATATATAAAAAAAGTGAGTGAGTCAATTTATTTAAAAAAAAATAAACAAAGAAGGGAAGTTACCGTACAAGATAGATTGAGCAGTACTTTGCTCACTTTCACCATGATGGTGTACACCTGGCAATTTCAGTCCTTTTATCTTTTAAATGACAGAACATTTAATCTCAAAAAACATATGGAAAATGAAATCAGTGCTGTGACTGTCAAAACCTCCATCTTCCAGGGCCAAGGAAAAATAGAAATCCCCCCTCAGGCAGAACCTGGTGTTGTGCCCTCGTTTTACACGGGTCACCCGTCCTACGCCTACCCTCCAGATAAATCATACCAGGAGGTGAGAGGGTACCCAGGAACACAGGGGGTGGAACCCTTCACATTTCAGACTGGCTACCCTGCAGGAGGACCACCTCTGGGTTACCATGGGGGTGCACCCGCACCCACTGGGTTTCCGGGGTTGTCACCAACTGGATATTAGTGGGAAATAAGATTTGTGACTAATGAATTGATGCGGGGCTGTTCAGGTTGTGTTCTACCACAAAATTCCAGGGGCAGATTGAGGCCATCTTCTGGGTCTTCTGGATTTTCAGCTTTACATTGACGGATATACATTTTTTCTGTTGGAAGATGGTCAAAAAAGGAAGATGGATCAACAAAGATAATTTGGAAGACTGTCAGAAAATATCTCTGGATCCGCCCCTGAATTTCTGTTTTGCAAATCTCAGTCTGGCTCTTGTAACCAAAATTATGATGATAAAGATGATGAAGATGGCGATGATGCTCAGAGTTCTGCTGTAGATGCAGAATCAAGCACCTTACAGCAGTGTCTGCTCTTTCTTCAGTTTAATCCCTTGACAGAACATTGATTATCCCTGACTAACATCCTTATCAAAATGAATATTTGGAAAAATAATTTTGCTGCAAATGACATATTTTCTCGGCAGGCCACTTTAGGACAATATTCCAAACATAGAATATTCAAACTCAGGTTTGGCTGCATTGCACATCTCTGGCTACTGGTGACTGGTACATGTTACATGGGAGTATTAAAATAATTTTCATGTATCTCAAACCTGCATGGTGCATTGATGGATAGATAAATTATTATTTATACAGAAAAAATATATGTATATAAAGCAAAATCAAGAGATATATTTGAAATTCATGCAAGACATTCTAGTTAATTTTAAATAAAATCTGTATTTTTGGTACATTTTTATTTTGAATGTAATACACAAAGGGCTGGATAATTTGCAATTATGCAGCCCTTATTAAAATTTTAAAGCTCTCTATCATCCAACTACAGAGTAGTTTTTTTTTTTTGTTTGTTTGTTAGCCCAGTAATTTGACGTGTATGTTAACGTGGGTAAGAATGTTAAAAAAATTGTTTAAAAAAAATCATGGATAAATTAAAGATTTGTTGTCACCTTGTGTTACAAAGTACTGGAAACCCACCTCAATCTATTTTTAGCATAAAACAGAGAGGATGCTGGGTGGAGGCAAGTTACCTTTTCCGTTCTGATACTTGGGGTACAATTTTCATACATTTCAATAAAAAAATTGATGAAAATCGTGAGTTAGTGATCCATTCATGTTCAGTGTAGAGGGAGCTGCATATATAGTTAAGGGCCATGCTGGGTACAATTTTATTTTATTAAGAGATTGAATAAGATGAAAGTTGTAGAAAGCACCAGTCCTTCAGATTGATAAATGTAGCATGGACACAAGTAAACTTTGTATTCTCAAAGGTTTACAACTTACATTTTCTTGTTAGAGTAATTTTTCATGTGAGAACAATTTTTCTATCAATTGGTACAGCGATTACAAAATTTAATTGATAAAGTGACCAAAGGGATATTATCATGCAAACAACTGCTTTAATTAGAACTTGTTGTAAAAGCTCGTGTGTTGTTTTTTATGTACCGAGTTGTGTAAATAAGCTTTTATGTGAATGATCTAACTTTTGTATATAAATGTTTCTTCTAAACTTCAAAGAGGGCTTGTTATTAAAAATCGGAGGAAACCATAAAATTCAACTCTAAACATGACTTTTTATTTCTCAGAATTTCAACAGATTTTATAATTCCATTATGAAAGAGTGTAAGTATCCATCACATAAAAAAATAATAAAAACAATGTTTCCATAAGGCAAAATAGAGAACAGATTATATGAATTGTATAAATAAATAAATAAAATCCTGTTAAAAAGTCTATTCTAAGGGACCTGCCTGATCTGCTAAATATGCAATTGGACCACATAAATGGGCTTCAACCATAGGTTCAAATCACTCATATACAATTTCCTATAGGTAGTAAGCTTGTGCATAAAATGAACATAATTATATATTCTGCTGGTTGCATGTCATCAGTTCAAGAACAGAAAAGCAGATATGTTGATATTGTTGAGAAAGCACCTTTTTATCTACTTCGCTTTAAATAAAAAGTGGGGAAAAAACAAAAAACAAAAAACAAAAAAAAAAAAAAAAAAAAAAAAAAAAATCCATTCATTTTTGTAAGTAATTGCCATTTCTTGATTCTTGATTACATGAAATATAAATGATGTCTTTTGTTTTCAATTCTAGGATAATGTGCAAAAATGCAAATACATTGCACTTAAATAAGGGTGTAAATCAATGTTTTATATACAGTGCTATTGCTATTATTAATAAATAAAATCTACCAGTTACTCATGATCATGTAAAGCAGCAAAAATCCACATCTTTCAACTGATGATGATTAAACTTCACAAAAACAAGACTTTTGATAAAATCTGATGTTTTTGGTCCACAGTTTGGTGGTGCACCTCCACTGCTCATCTATCAGCACATTCAGCATGTGGGAATCTAAGAATTGAGCAGAATCTCTGATCACCATCTCTCTCAATTCCTTGCTCAGTTTCACACAGCCTTTCCTAACTTCTAAAATGAAATGCTTCTGCTAAAATTTACCAGTAAATCACCCAAATCACTGGTATGTCAATAGAAAATAGTGCTGACTTTGTGAAACCAATCTAAATTTCAAAATTTACTGGAAACCAGCCAACCAACCCAGTAATCATCATCATCACACCTCTTGCTGTGTCTAGTAATTGCTGATAACAGAGATAAGTTTCTCATAATTTCTTAACCTTGGGATGAGAGCAACAGAGCTTTAAAAAAAAGACTCTAAGACTTGTCAATTTACTCAAATTTCAATTGACCATACTCAATGAACCGAACTGGATGAAATTATAGTGCATTACCTATAACATCCAGGATACAGAAAATAGCACACAAAAACAATACATAGTCAACATTTTAACACATATTTCAAAGTCAACCTTTTGTACACTATACAAGTACTGTAAAAATTGCTTGCAGTTTAATTGTTGTACGATGCTTAATTAACATGATAACAATCACCTGTTGCTGTCAAATTGACAGCAGGATAAATTATATTTACATATGTAAACTAGTGTCTTGGAGGACTCGTAAGGGCGACAGACATTTTATTGCATTTGTTCAAAATTAAACATCAAATCTACATCCATTGAACCTAAACGTCTGACAAGTAAAAAATAGGGGGGGGGGGGGGGGGCATTTTCCATTCTACAGAAAAAATTCTGTGAATCCTGATGTGGTGGGTGACACATGCCCCTCAAAATGTTCAGTTGTACGATGCTTACATTATGCATATCATACAAAAACAATGTGCCAAATGTCACAAATATTACTTGTCAGTGAATTAAAAACCTCTTGTTAACTTTAAATAGCAATAACTTAATCCAGAATTCTCCTTGTGGAGAATCCCCATTTGATGACCGTGTTTTAATCTTGAAACTATACTGAAAACTTTTAGAATATCAACTTCTATTGCTTGTGTATTTGTGCTGTGTTTATAAACTTCTTTGAAAAAATTGGCAGTGAAGAAGAAATGTCTAAGTAGCTTCTTGTGAAACCAACTTACAAATTACAGTCTTGTTTTACCATCCCACCAGTGACTCAGGATTAAAAAGAGCTTATAAATATAACAGTTATTTAAATGCCAGATCATCAATTTTCTTAAGTTAAAATAAGTCATGCAATTTCAGTTGTTATTACTTTTGTTTACACATTACCAGGGCATTTGGCTAGCTGTCTTTTGGACTACCTATGTAAATTTTGGACTAATTTTTTTTCAGATTTTTGTTATTGGAGCCCATCTCAGTAAGGAAAGAAACTTGGGCTCCTTATTTCAAAATCACGGCCACCCTGCACATTACTTTATTGTTCTGCACTGCTTAAATCCTCTTCAACACTTTAGTAATTAAACAAAAATCAACTTCTTTAGTGGTAAGCAGATCCTGCATTTCTTTTTTTTTTTTTTGGAACTGAACATCCTTAATATGATTTGCGATTAGCAAATTGCAATTTTACCCTCTATTTTTAAAATCAAAGTCAAACAAAATGTCATGTTTAAAAAATATGGACTAAAATTATATGTTTGTGTTAAAATTTAAATTATCTTTGAACACACAATTACAATTGATTTTTGATAATAATAATAATGATAACAATAAGCACAAATAAAACCTTTCCTCCTAAAATCTACAAAAATTCTTATTCATCTTTATGCTAACAGTGGGACATCATCATCATCACAGTCAAAATCATCAGGAGCAAGGAGATGGGTGGCTGCCTCATCCTCTGCCATTGTTCCATGGTTGGGTCTTGACTGGTAACTTGTCTCTGAGTGAGATAATGGACCATGGCTCTCTTCAGCTGACTGTGTTGGGCTATACGAAGAAAGATCAGAACTAGATGGAAGGTCATCATCAGCATTTGCACCAAGGCTGTGTAATAAAGCTGTTTCACTGGATGAGTCACTGACAATGTTACTAGAGTTGGCTTGGCAGCTCTCACTGGCAACTGCCTCACCATTCTGATTTGTTAAAATGTTGGGTGTAACACATTGGTTTGGTTCATCTTGAGCAGTTAGGTCACAAGCGCCCCCTTCAGTTGGGTTTGTTTGTATTGTACTTGTGTCTGGCTTGGGGTTGTCTTCACACATGGAGACTATCACACTATCTGTACAAGTGGAGGTGCTGGCAGTATCGCCTGCAGATAACAAACTAGAGGCGTCTGTCCTATTTGGATCTGGGTCACCCCTTCCTGGGTCCTGCCTCGACGATCCTGCTGGATTGCCAGATGCTTGACTTGCTGAATCCCTACTTGATCCACCTCCATTTCCTCTTCTAGTTCTACTCTTCCTTTTCCTTCTCCACCTTGCCTGGATGTCTGAATCTAAAGAGATATTAACTTGGTTCATGCGCCTTCCTAGTTCAGTCTCCGAGTCCGAGTCACTACTTGTTGAATCTGGAAAAACTAAAAGCATGTCTCTGTGCTGTGCGTTGTTTGACGAATTTGCAGAACTCGTATTGGAACTAGCATTCCCATCTTGCATAGTGCTGCCCCCTCCACTTGCGGCACTTGGCTGTTCTGTTGCTTCTTGAGCAGCCTGTAGTTGTGCCCGCATCTCCTGCTGAACTTCGTCGTATGGGCGTGACGTTACCATTGCACGATCGTAGTTGGGTGGAGGAGGGCGAGCATTGAAGAGCTCCTGAAGGCGTGTCATGGGGGTCTCATTCCTGGTCCCGTAATGTTCATTCATACGCAGAGCATATAGTTTGCAGGTACAGCCCAGTGCTATAACTAACAGCAGCCCACATATAAGTGAGCCAATTACCGCTGCAATGATGACTCTTAGGGATGGCAAAGCTGAAATACAAATAAAATGTGTTAAGTTTTTTAACACCTTCCTTATTCGATGTGTACTGCCTCCTTTCTACACACAGCATGCATGCACACAAACATACTCTTCTCTCTCTCTCTCTCTCTCTCTCTCTCTCTCTCTCACACACACACACACACACACACACACACACACACACAGTCATAATTTGTTACGAATCTTAGACTGCATTCCCACAGATTTTAGATCGATCTATCCCGTGGGGAGTCTCACTAGAATACTGTCAGCTTAGCTGGCTTAAATGTCTGTCCAGCCTACTAAAAGCTGTAAGGGGGTAACGCACTCAGCTGACAGCAATTTATTGTGAACCCCCAGGGAGTTAGGTCGATCCAGATGGATTGATCTAAATTTGTGGGAATGCAGTCTTAATAAATTATTTCATTTGAACAACTGGGCCTATATTCTTCTCAGAGTGTCAAAAGCCTATGGATATTGTTGTTAGGGGCCTGTGATAAGTTAGTTTATGCATATCAAGGTTTTTGTCTGGAGAAAAGATCAGGAATGCTAGCGCTTAACAGGGCGTCCTTGATTCTTATTTGCCTAATAACTTAAGGATATTATGTAACATCCCAAGAACAGAATGCCGCAGAGTTTTAAAAAAAATTATCAAGTCATTTTTTCTTCACATAAGATATAAGGCACATTAAGAAACCCTGTCACAAAAGCAGATTGATGATATTGATGAGGCAGCAGACAAAGGACTTACATGAACAATTGACCTCATCACTGTTGTCTTGACAGTCATCAGTGCCGTCACATTGCCACCGTTCCTTGATACATTTCTTGTTTCTACACAGGAAGGTGCCGTTGTGGGGACCGCATTTCAAGGGGTCTGAAAATTAAGATTCAAGGGTTTATTTATCGATATAAGTATTTGTTATAACAATTACATTCAGACATGTTAAAAATCAATTGCATAAACACCAACAAAAATTTGGACAGCTGAGTTAAAAAATTGGCCAGACTTACGGACATTTTGCCAGACTGTCAATTGAAAATGGTAGCTCTAAAAATTTTTGCTATTCCCTTTGACCATCTGAGCAGATATTTTTTTCACCAGTCCTTGAAAATTTAACCAGTCATGACTGGTAGGACCAACAGTTTCAGCATGTCAGTACACTGCAATATCTTAAGTCAACCTGAATCAACAGAAATGAGACCCCCAGTGTGGTGTGGAGTCCAGAACTACCACTAATAATATGTTTTTACTGCTCTTTATAACACTGTTTATACTCACCGCAATTACTTTCATCACCAAAATCTACCTTACAGTCAACCGTGCCGTCGCAGCGTTCTTTCTCTAAGTAGCAAGATGTCGTCTTGTGTCCACAAGAAAAGTGACGATCTCCTGAACAGCTTGCTGCTGGAATTTTTGATTTTAGATTAATTGTAAGATATAATTTACTTAATTTAAAAAATACCTTCCTGTAAGCTTCACCCTTCCTTAAGGTAGCTAAGACTTAACCTGTTTTTTTAAAATTCAGATAATTAGTGAAATAACTAGACAGACAAGTTGAAACAATCCTAAAACTGATAATAAAAGGGTGCATCAAAAATATCACGTCTACTTTGGTTGTGGCATTTCGCCACAAATAAACCACAATTAACATAGAACTCAGACATATCTTTCATGTTTTTTTTCAAGTTGATACTATAACAAATATATGATAAAAAATTGTAAAACTAGACACTACTACACTGCAAAGGAAAAAGGCAACTAAAGAGGAAAAAAACACATGAGAACTGGTTTCAGTTCAAATTGTCATCACTTCTTTCTATCCAAAATACGTCTATCCTGAAATATTCCTCAGAATTTGTGAACAACCTTTTGAGATATCCTCTCCACTAATTAATATATAATGTACAGACATAAAGACAAACCAATGCCACTGATTACACTTAGTCTACCTTCTTAATGAGCTGAGTTAATAATAAGAAAAAGATTCTTACAACACTGTCTCTCATCCCCTCCATGTAGCTGGCAGTGCCAAGTGCCATCACAGCGGTCCTCTGGTTCATAGCAGTCTTCTTCTTGAAAACACTTCTCCTGCTGACCAATGCAACACCCTGAAGTGAAATAAAAAGAATCAACACATCCTTTTTCCAGTAAACTTTAAGATAGAATCATATTAAATTTTTTAAAAACAGAAACCAACTGGTTTCCCAGCAGAGTACATGGATGATGTTAAAAACAGTAAAATAAAGAGTTCAGAGCAAATGGCCTGCTTACAGCAAAGCACATCAACATTTAACACAATTCTGAAACAAAACCTACCCTTTATCTGATATCTAGCTAGGAACCCGTCCCTCGGCTTGGAATAATCAGGAGAGCTCACAAACTTCACAAACAACTCATTGGAACTGGTTTCTATCACTTTTGGAGGTTTATAGATCCCGGTTCCTGTGTATTTCCCTAATACACCACTCCTCTCATCACGACCATCGTAAACTGTCACAAACTCTGCATTGATGTCCTCATGAAGGTCAAACGCTTGGAAACGTAGCTGTATTTTTTTCCCGGCAGGTGCCTGTATGAGCCAGTCACAGGTTTGATCAGCTTGGTATGGCTGTGGATAGTTTGGGCTGGTCAGGGTGCCGTTACAGCTTGCCATAGAGCTGGTCCCAGGGAGAGCTAGGTCCATGATGTGTTTGCATGTGGCTGAAATGGAAGACGTGGAACACTGTAACCTGGGCTAAACTTATAGAATTTTTACATACTTTTACCATGCTTTTGTTAACACATTACCCAGGCATTTGTCTAGCAACCGTCTAGCTATCTTTTGGACTGCCTATAGTATATATTCATTTCAGACTCATTTTCTCAGATTTTATTACTGAAGTCAAGACAGCCCAACTCAGTAAGGAAAGGAATTTGGACTCCTTATTTCAAAATTTCTGTTCAAGTTATTGCAGTTCAAAGTCCTGAATATCAAAATCCAAAAGGAAGTAGAAGTACATTGGGTTGATAGGAAGCTATATGATCTTTTTTTCAAAATCATGTCATATGACCCATTGCATAAGGACTTTGTTTTTTTTTTTTAATTATATGTAACCAAATTTTGTCCAAATCCCTCCAAACTTACAACCTGCGCAATTCTCCTCATCACTTCCATCTTGACAGTTTCTAGTTCCGTCACATATCTGTAAGTTGTTGAAACAGGTGAATTTTCCCTGAGTATTCCGGCACAGGAATGTCCCCTTGCCACAAGGGGGAGGAGGTGTGGGCTTTATAATGCCTGTGAAAAGGGGAAACAGAGAAAGAATTGAATAATAGTATCTTGTAAGTTATTGTATGTGTGTTATAACACTTGAGTGTGGGGGATGAGAAAGAAAAGAACAAATTATAAATAAACGGTGGTACTAAAAAATAATAATTTTTAGGACAAAATGCATGAGCAAAGCTAAATACTGATTTATTGGATTTTTGATTTTGAAACAACTAAGATATTGTAAAAATGAAGAAAAACAAAACAAAAAAAATAACAAAATTTTTTGTAACTTTCTTTAGTAAACAAACAAACCAAAAACTTTTCAAGAAGTGTTCTTTATTCACCTCCGCTACAGTTCACTTCATCACTTCCGTCTCCGCACTCATTCCAAGAGTTACACCTCCACCGTTTCAATATACAGGCTCCGTTACCACAGTGGAATTGACTGCCGTCACATCTAGGTGATCCTGAAAACAAAACAGATAATAATTAAGGTTTCTAATCTGTGATTTTCCTGCCAAATCAAGTTTTCCTGAAAGCAAAAAAATCAATGCTGTCAATGACCATTGCACTAAGATTGGAGGTTTTATACCATTCCTACTTTTAATCAAATTCAAAAATAATTTTACAAAGAGTAAATTTAAAACTTTATTTTTGTACAAATATATTCCAGAGCTTGCATAAAAAAGGGGGAAAATAATGAACTATGAAAACATAAATATACTAAGTATAATAGGTTATTGAACAATACTGAAAGAAATTATTTCTGACCATAATATTTACATATGAAGTGATTCATTAATTATCCTTTGACACAAGCCATAAATGCCTTTAAAAAAGGAAACAGAAAAAGCAGTTGAAAAAAAACAATAAATTAAACCAGTCATAACAAAAGAAATGTCTTTAGAACGTGTCTGGTCTGAGGTGCCTGTACCATGAATGGGATTCAGTCAATTAAAAACATTTCATACAAAGCCATCTCACAAAGGTATGTGGTAATGGTCACATTAATGTCAACACCAAGGGATACAGTTATTTGCTTAAACGCATATATTTAGACCAAAATAATTTTTTCTCTGGAGCAGGATGTGATTTGAAGTAGTTGTGGGGAGAGGGACTTCAAAAAAAATATATATTATAAAACAAAAACAAACAAACAAACAAACTTAGTTAATTAAATTATAACAGAAATAGCAATTATTATTATTATTATCATTATTCTCAAAATTCATGCTGCAGCACCACCTACTGGTAAGATATCTCAGAGAGAAGCCCCTCCCCCTGGACTGTGAGCGTCCAGGGCTTGAATGAAGGTACATCCAGACGTGACTGCGCTGTGAAATGTACACCTTGGGAATCGGGTCATCTAGTTTCCCACAGAATTTGGTCGTAGGCAAGGGTCCAATTTGGAGAAAGTCTATACAGCTGCCATTGCTGGCCTTTGGCAGGTCTAAGTCTTCAAAGCTGAAAAGTTTGTTAATTTAAATTCAATTGAATCTAAATATCAATCAAACTGAAACATGTTAATTACTGATAAATGAACTTGTTTGATTTAAATGACAATCACAAATCAATAATTGATCATTTTGAATTAATACATTCAATATTCTGGCCATGGATCAATGCTGTTTTTAGTTAGCCAATCTTACTACGTATTTGAAAAGTGACTTAAATGGTAAATAGTACAAATCACAGGCTAGTGAAAAGGTTATTATATAAGAAGTATATCTAAATTTCTAGCCTTTCTTAACAAATGTCTCAATGTCAGCATTCAAAGCAATGAAAGTTGTCAGAAAAGTCTTCTTAACTGAATAATTTCCATTGCACCTTCAAACAAAAACTGTTATCTGATTTGCTTTTTGTTCCTGACCATTTTAATCATAGATAAAACTGTAAAGGCAGTAACACTGTGTTCAATCAAACCTAACTTGAAAAGAGAATAATCCAACTTATCCACCCATGCTGTAATATGTTCTAATGAGCTGTGACCACTGAATGCACCCGCAACATAAACACCCTCTCCACACCATGTGCCCAACAATGTCAGGGTGGAGATTAGGTTGTTGAGCTTATTGTGTTCTACTATTCGGATTATAAACACACACACACACAGACAAAATTAAGAGAAAAAAATGTGTCAAATATTTGCAGCATTCAATTACTTTCCGACATCATAATTCCTTTCTGTGCATTATAGGAAAAAGCACACATTGGCAAGTTTTTCAGAAAAGTATCCGGGTCTGCTACAAAGTGCCAAGTCCTTAAATGACAGTGGCCTTTATAGCATCTTTGCCTATGAAGTACTAATCTGTAGTATATCCTATAAAAAACTACACATCTACTGTGGAGTAAAATAACACTATATTACACACATCCATTTCAACACACAAAAGTAATTTGATAACAAAAGTGGCGTGACATGATTTTTTTCTAACATGAACAGGATGATGACAATGAGAGGGTTTGAATAAATTGCTAGTTAAACCTGACTTTTCAGTAATTTCTCTATCAAATTGGCAAACGTCTCAACCAAAATAATTCTACCTAAGCTGATAAAACATTTGTTGTTGTGAATCCTGTTCACCTGAACTGGGTTTGTTTCATAATTAATAACACATGTTTGAGTTCATCTTATTTCAGTAATGTATATATCTTAAATAGGTCACTGTTGTTCTATAGTCTTTTACAGGAATTTTAATCTTTAAAATGATTGCATGACAGCAAGATCATAATAAACTGAATCTGCTGGGCATTCATTAAAATATATGGCTGTAACACGTTTTTGAGTAAAAAAAATATACACTGACGAATGTATGTCTCCATCTGATGTGCAATCCCATTTAATGATTGTAAATTGTTACCTTTACTGTAGACGTACACATATTTATTATATATAAACTAGCAAAGTAAAGCTTATTATAATATACCTTTGAAATGACCTGAATTAACAAACAGACAAAGGCCAATATGAGAGAGAGAGAGTCTTAACAATCCTATTCATGTGTGCCCAACATGTTCCCATTGAGCACTAAAATTACATTAAAAATATCATATTAAACAGGACCAGCCATATACTAGTATCAGAAAATGCTTAGCAGGCATGCAGAATGGCGGTCAGACAGACAGACAGACAGACAGACAGTCTTACCTGATGGTGATGTTCAGTCCGTCAGACTGTATCATCCAAGCCTCACAACTGGAGTAGTTAAATGGATAGTTGGCACTCTGGATCAGCCCCTGGGTGATGTGATTGTACGTCTGGGTGTGGCAACCAGCTGAAGAAGATCAATGTTTTTTAGATTTCTTGGTTATTAATTTGGTGAACTTGGGGCCATTCCCAATAAAACTATTGCTCTACTGGGATCAATCCAACTCTGCAGGAACTCTAGCTGAATGTTGGATCAAGCTACTTAGAACGATCATTTCATGTGGAATGAGTCCTATGTAATTTACATTGTCTCTAGTGCAAAGATGTTAAAAAAAGTTTCTAAAGAGTCAGCCATGTGATGAAGACTCCTGGATGAAGGGTTGAATCATGATGCCTCACACATTAAAACACATTAAGTCTCTTTAGAAACATTTTTTTTTTGCAAGTTTTTAGTTGTTTGAGTTCTTGCAATGAATTGTTTAACTAAGGTGATTCTATGCACAACACACAGAATTTNTGTCACAGCAATCTCAGTGCAGTGGTCTCTTCAATACAGTTTTCATCTGGAAAACACACACAAAAAAAATTAATTATTTTTGCATGTGTATGTGTTTGTGCTTGAGTGTGTTTGTATAGTATGTAATTTTTGTGTGCCCATAACTTTATTACTTAACATGTATTGACACAGTCTTCGAGTGAAAATATGAATGCTATTGTCTATATTAACAATGAGATGCACTAATATCGATCTTTAAACCATTAACTTTTGAGAAATCATTGAAACACAGGATTTTTAGAAAGTTTTTCCAAGTATTATGCTTTATTAAGACTTGAAATCTTGCCCCAGACAAACATAGCATTGTATCTAATTCGGGGGACTGCTTCCTATGGATATATTAATTTGTATTATAATATTCAAAGATGCTCTATATAGGACAGGAGGGCATCTCGATAGTCCGAAGGTTCATTGGTCTGAAAAGTGGTAACATTTTCATCGATTTTTTGTTCAAGGGTTCATTGGTCAGAAGGTTCTATAGTGAATTTCTGTATAAAATATAGTTCTATATCCTTCGGACTATTGAACCTTCAGACCATTGAACCTTCGGACTATTGCTACGGCCCCCAAGACAGATCAAGTGTTATTTTAGCTAATGAATTTTTATTGTTATGTATAGGCATAATCAGAATGCAGTTAGTTCACAGATCAAATATGGCAATACTTGAAAGTATGCTGCACAATATCCTGACAATTAATAATGTACTAGTACGTACTATAGTAAAAGATTCCCAGCCTCACACGTGCATTGTCCTAGCTAGCAGAGGCAGAGTAATAAAATCTGGGCATGGGACATGCTATATGTGCCTTATGTGATAGCTTACATTTAAAACTAAATGGAGTATTCAGTATCTCCTTCTCAAATTTTACAGATTACATTTAACATTGGATTTTGTTTATAGAGTGCCTAACAACACTGTTGATATTAGATGAGTCATAGAGCACCTTAGGAAATGCTTACCAATTTACACAAGCCTGTTTCACAAAACTTAGTGGTGTGCCTTCAGTATGTATATCTTCTCAAGAAACTTCTTCACTGTTAGTTGCTCTCCACACATGCTGCCTTTTCACTGTTGGTCTCCTAAAACATTCTTAATTTGGAAAGTTGTTAGCCGTGTCACTAATGAAAAAAACTCTGAAACAGAAAAAAAGAAGGTTAGTAATCAAACAGCTACTGGTATATTATTACGGACACCAGCCTACACAGCAATGTAACCTAAATCATGTACCTAAAACATTATTTGGATCACTTGTTTTTATCTGAAACTCAAACTGCAATAAGAAGGTATAAATCAGTACCTATTATGGTCTGTCACTTTATCATAAACTTACAATGAAAAGCTTTTTGAATCTTTCTTACTACGTGGGTCGTACAAAACAGGCGTCGACACTATCAATACACAAAAGCCCTAAAATATCACTTTTGCATATATCCATTTCACTTGCTATGCACACCAAGTCAAGAAAGTGATCTTTCATCACCTATAAGATACTTTTTATTGGTCAATACACCCTAAAAAATATCAAATTTAGAGTTTGGAAAAATAATTCATCAAATCAAAGGCGACCAGACTCAAACAATTTACAAAGTCGCTGAATTATCAAATATAAATAAACGTTTCAACAAATACATATATTAAAAAAATCAGAAAGTGATCTGTACTCACCAATGGGTTTCATTTCGTTGGTCATTGTACCCCCAAATATCTTAAATTCGGAGTTTGAAAAAAATGTTTTACAAATCGGACGTATTTTCGCAGCCGGAAGTTAAGGTAGCCATTTTGTGCGCAAAAGCCCAATGCGCATCCAAAACGTACATATTTTGGCAAGGACTTGTTTTTGCAAAACAACGGGAGTTGGCCCTGATAAGGTGACACACCCTTTTCGGGTCTTCCCAGAGTCCCGGACACAGCATTTTACGTTTTTAGATTCTGCATATCGGCTAGTGACGATAGTTGGAAAACTGATTAGGTTAATCTCGCTATTCTGAAGTGTTTTTATTCCGGCTAAAGTTGTATTCAATTAAGTCCGATGTTTTTTTTTGTTTTTGTTTTTTTTAGGGCCAAGTTCTGTTGTACCCAATTTATAACCATAATTGCAAATTCCTCTTCACTCCGATAAATTCTAAAGTCTTAGGTGCATTAAACCAAAAATTCATTAAATCGCACATAAAATATGAAATACGCTAACTTACCTACAGGTGCAATATACCACTACATGTACCGTACTATTAAGTATTAAAACGGTTGATTAATTCGTGCCGGTTGGGGGACAAATCTTCAGTCAATTTTATACAAAAATAAAATATCTACATTTATGACAGGGAGAAAACTGTCTACCGCATTTTATTTTTATTTAACCACTTGTGCTACAAGGACACGCACGAATTGAATAGGCATGCCACCAAGGCTACTGTTTCTCACGTTTAGGGACTCGTTCCTAATGAAATTATCGGTCTGTGTAGATTGATCCCACTGCGCAAGGACTCTCGCTGAATGCAATCAGATTAAAAAATTAACCTGCCTCCTCTTGTTTCCATTGATGGTTCATCCGCGTTGTTCTGTTGATGTTTTTGGTACTTTAATTAGAATCCAACCAGGTTTAAATATGCAATATTTGCAATGCATTTTATAAATTCCTTGTTTTTTTTTTTTTTTCTATAACCAAGCTTGTGTTTAGCCCTTTTTATGTTTAGACACTCAGTATGAACAACTAAAACTAATTTTATCCTTTACTTCTGAGAATGAATGCATGTATCACAACCAGCATAATTTTTTTCTCTCATTTATTGCTCAATCAATATTAAGTAGAAAATAAAATAGTTAAAAAAGAAAAAAGTGACAGCTAGGCTTTTGTTTAAAATGGCTTAGAAATTTAACAATTATCACTGGTTATATGTCAATTTTTGTAGAAAAGTTCCCTTTAGGTCGACTTCTCTGAAGTCACCATTGTAACCTCAAAATTTAACTCAAGGAGCACTGACTGGCTTTACTTGAAGACAAAAAAATATATATATATATTCAAACAAGAAAATATGTAACAATTTTTTTTTACCAACCTCCAATTGAATATACTAATAAAATATCAAAAAGTCCATGCTGTCATGTTTTCCACTGAAATAATATGATATAAAACTTAGCTAAGAAGCTCTCAGACATTTTAATAGGTATAACATCTCCTTAAAGTAATGCAGACTTACGTTTAAGAATAATATCAAGCTGAAAAAAAAAACATTCAGTTAAATTTCTTAAATAAATAATATCATAACTCTCTATAAACAGGTTGATTTAGCTTATAAGTCTAGGACTTCAAAGTTGAAGTGAATATATTATATTACTATATTGATCCAATTTGTACTAGGGTGACAAATAACTAGGGGTGACAAATAACTTGTATTTCCATCTGCAAGGACACAAAATATATTTTTCTTTAAATGTGTAAAGATTTATATTCTGTACATAGTTAACGTTTGGACATATTTCTTCTAAAGAGGAAAAGAGAAAGATGGTTTAATGACTTCTCACGACAAAATTGTGGTTGCGAATACATGTAGCATATAGTTCAATCTACATATACATGTACCAGCGGTAAGTACATAGTTTACATATTATCATAAAGTATGGTAACACAAAGACCCGGTATCTAGAATTATATGTCACATGAAAAGAAATAAAAATAGTTTCTGAAGAACTTGCACTATAATTCTTCGAAGCAGACTGCATTTATCAAGACAGTAATAAATCAAAGTGAATAGTAAGCACAATGTCTCAGACATCTTGTCACAATGGTTGAGAAGGAACAATTAACACATTCTGAGAGGTAAAGCTGGCAAAGGGGCTGAAAGTGTTTTGGAAAATGAATTTTGATAGACTCAGTGTTTAGAATTTTAACACTTGTGTACTTCAAGATTCCAAGGATAATTAAGGCTAGCAAAATAGGTGCTGAAAGTATCAATGGAAAATGTATTTTCAAACTGATAGTGTTTTAACACCTGTGTAGGCTACCAATTCAGATCAATTTAAAACACAGTTTTCCTAACCACTTATGATTTTAATGGGCATATGTATGTGGCCTTGCACAATAATTTAAATATTTTTTCAGAATGATTTTTGAATATTTGAACTAGAACAAACTGTAGCGTGTAAGTGACCAAATGCTAACGAATATCAAAGCTTCTTGAAACATACACACACTGGAAGTGTCACCCCTACTGAACCAATACTTTGGGGGAGATAAATGACTGTGGAATGATATGCTCCTGGTATCATTTTATTAACATCAAATTTCACAAAAGAAACGGTTCTGACTGAACAATTCAACTGTATTGATATTCTGACATTGCTTATATTCTGCCTCTTCAGGTTAATAACTTTGATTACTCTGATTCAGGGTTTGACACTTCTATTGTCCAGTGTGTGTAATTATATCATGTTACCTCTTCCATCTAGAAAACACAATTTGAAGGAAAGAATGGTGATCGAGAAAATATTCAGTTAATTATTATAGGAATCAAATAAGAAATGAATAGTGCAAAATGTTTTGGAGCCAAAACAAACAAACAGAAAATGCTTTTACAGTTCAATTACATGGAATACATTGGAAAAGAGTTTTTATGTGGGAAAATGTTAAAAAAAATCTATAAATATGTACGAACACCCTTAATTAAATGGTAGATATTTGTACATACAATAAATTAACATTATTTGAGGTTAAAGGAGCATAGTGAAGTGCTTGCATGTGCCTGGATGAATTTAGTAATTTATATTTTCAACATTACCTCAGGTGTTGCCCGGTCGTAACTTACTTTAATATTGTGAGAGAAAACTGAGGAGTAAAAGATTTGTGATTGAATATGTCACTGGTTATCAAGAGTTACACATGATTTATAGAAACATTATAAGCTGTTGCCCTTAAACTATCAGTTATCAAATATTTGTAGAAAACCAACTTTCTAAAACCCACTTTGTAAATATTTGACATGTTCACTCAACAAATCAAGCAATATAAGAGTTTTCATGACCCCACCCAGGTCAGTGTCTTGGATGCTACAGACAGGTGTACATCATGTATTTTCATGTGTTCGCTGCCTTTTTTGTTACTACTGTCTCTGCATCAACTTTACAACATCATGCTGATGTCAATAATGATGTGTTGATGAAACTGGTTGAAAGACTGGACAAGCAAGAACAAGAGATAGCATTCCTGAAAAGGTTGGAGGTGGAGGTTGCTGCAGTAAAACAGGAAAACAAACAACTTAAGGTAATTTGTACTTTAAAATGTGCCTAACTGCATGATTGTGAATTTCTTATTTGTTTGGTGTCTTGTTTCTGTCAATATTATCAATAATAAACCTACAATCTTTGATACTGACATATCAAATCTTTTCAATTAGTCAGATATTCAGAAAATCAAGTTGAAGCTTGATGCACTAACTATCACTTTTCCTGAGCGAAATGAAACAAGCCTTCACCATGGAAACCATTTTATTACCAAGCGACAAGTGCAGCAGGGAAACCGTAAGCTACATTATTTGTTAGAGGTCATAATGGACTTTTGGCACACTTTTCTATAAAATTGTAACAATACTAATATAAATGTCATAAATCATGGTGAGAAAATACTGCAGGATTAAAGGGATATGGTTCCAATTTAAATGTGAGGAAGCATAAAACCCCAGATGCTTATATAATTTCTAGTGAATGTATTTTAATTATTTCTTCTTACCATGACTGTTATCAATCTAGCCTAAGTTGGGGTGAACTATCTCCTTCAATGTCAGAAAAATTGTTTACAAAAAAAAAAAAAAAAAAATGCACAGCACTCACAGTGGAACAATCCTGCTTTCTATGAAAATATTTTAAGTGACAGATAACATAAGAATGTATCCCCATGCTGAAACTGAGCATCTGTGT